AAAATTATGCCTGTAAGAGAAATGAATAATTACATAATATTCTCACCTTTCCCTATCTTCCATTTGTGGTGCCTGGGTGAAGATGGCATTATCTTCCTTCTGCTGAGTCCTGGAGAATGTACAGTTGTGGCCAAAATTATTCAACCCCCAATGCTGTAAAGGGGTTTAGGGACTATAGTGTACATTTGGAATTGTATTCAGAATCAAATCCTACAAGGACGTTGTAACTACCCAAATGCAACTAAAATGACATCAATTGTTTATGTAATACAGTAGTAAATGGTTCTTATGTGGTTTCTTCATTGCCACAATTATTCAACCCCTTAAAGACTACCACTCTGAAGAACAGAGGTTCATACAGGTGCTTTCCATCAGGTATTGAAAACACCTGTGGATGTCACCGAGCAGCAATCAAGCATAATAAGCACCAATTAGGCAGCTTTAAAATGACTGTGATACTCAGCTCCTTCTAGACATTTACTGGTGTGGTTACAAACATGGTGAAGGCAAGAGAATGGTCCAGGAAGACAAGAGAAGAGGTGATTTCTCTTCACAGGAAGGGCAATGGCTATAAGAAGATTGCAAAGATGTTAAACATACCAAGAGACACCTTAGGAAGCATCATTCGCAAATTCAAGGCAAAGGGCACTGTTGAAACGCTACCTGGTCGTGGCAGAAAGAAGATGCTGACTTCGACTGCTGTGCGCTACCTGAAGCGTAGAGTGGAGAGAAGTCCCCGTGTGACTGCTGAGGAACTGAGAAAAGATTTGTCAGATGTGGGTACAGAAGTTTCAGCCCAGACAATAAGACGCACACTGCGTAATGAAGGCCTCCGTGCCAGAACTCCCAGGCGTACCCCCTTGCTGTCTCCAAAGAATAAGAAGAGTCGACTGCAGTATGCCAAAAGCCATGTGGACAAACCACAAAAGTTGTGGGATAGTGTTCTGTGGACTGATGAAACAAAATTAGAACTGTTTGGGCCCATGGATCAACGCTATGTTTGGAGGAGGAAGAACAAGGCCTATGATGAAAAGAACACCTTGCCTACTGTGAAGCATGGTGGAGGGTCAATCATGCTTTGGGGCTGTTTTGCTTCTGCAGGTACAGGGAAGCTTCAGCGTGTGCAAGGTACCATGAATTCTCTTCAGTACCAGGAGATATTGGATGGAAACGTGATGCAGTCCGTCACACACCTGAGGCTTGGGAGACGTTGGACCTTTCAACAGGACAATGATCCCAAGCATACCTCCAAGTCCACTAGAGCATGGTTGCAGAGGAAAGGCTGGAACATTTTGGAGTGGCCATCGCAGTCACCAGACTTAAATCCGATTGAGAACCTCTGGTGGGACTTAAAGAAAGCAGTTGCAGTGCGCAAGCCTAAGAATGTGACTGAACTGGAGGCCTTTGCCCATGAAGAATGGGCGAAGATACCCGTAGATCGCTGCAAGACACTTGTGTCAAGCTATGCTTCACGTTTAAAAGCTGTTATAACTGTAAAAGGATGCTGTACTAAGTACTAAGATTGAATGTCACTTGGGGGTTGAATAAAACTGATAATGCTGTGAGCACAGAAAAGACATTTGTGGTTATTTCATTATAACTGTTATGTTATATTTGTCTGACCTACAAGTGCCTCTTTAATGTAAATGTAAGCAAGATGACTGAATGATCAAAAGCAATGTCAAACTGGCCAAAACACTCAATTTCAGTGGGGGTTGAATAATTTTGGCCACAACTGTAGAGTAATCCAAATCTCAAAGATGCTCCCAGAACTGTGCTGCTGGTTTGGAGTTTTCATCATTCCCCGGGACCTCTTCAAAGAAGAATAACATCACCCCCTGCACCACAGAACCTGGAGGAAAGGTGAGAATATTATTCTTGTTGAACCTTTATTTCACGAATTTCAGCAGGGGAAGGGTGGAAAAAGGTAAACAGCAGACCTTATATATAGTGCAAGGTCTGCTTTAAAAAGTTCATGAGAAATTATAATTTAAAACCAGTTCTAGTTTTATTACTGATCCAGAAAAAGGCAAACCAGACTTAAATGGGTTGTAAACCTTAAATGTTTTTTTCTAAAATTATAAATATTGTATACTTACATGCTCTGTGCAATAGTATTACACAGAGCTACCCCAAACCTCCTCCTCTGAGGTCCTCTGTTTTTTCCCCTGCTCCTCTTCTCGGTGCTTTCTATGGGGGCGCACCTGTAGTCTCACTCCTAATCCAGGCTGAGCACATCCAAAGATATGCACAACATGGCTTGGTCCCACACCCCTGCTCCCTCCTTACAGGATTTGATTGACAGCAGCAGTAGCCAATGACTCCCACTGCTCTCACTGAGTCCTGAGAAAGAGCCCGGCACCACTGCAGATGGGCACAGCACTGGGTTGAGGAAATGCATTAAAGCTGGACTCCAGGAAAATACTTTTTCCCCATGCAGTGGGGCTGTGCTTGCACTGCATGGGTAACTACACACACACAATTTAGCAGTCTTGAGCAGGGACAGTTCCTGACGTCATCCCGCCCATAGACCGGTTCTGCATGTGAGGATGGCAGGAACAGTCCACCGCTGGACTTCGATGAGTCCCGGGTAAGTATAGCTTTTCTGTGTGCGCCTGAACAAAACACGCAGTTAACCCTTGCAGTGCGGGCACTGTCCCACTGTCCCACTGCATGGGAAAAAAAAAACATTTTCAGGAAATTCTGCTTTAAGGTACAAACTGTTGTGCCTTTGGAATCACTTTAGATCAACTGGTAATTTTTTTGTCACAGGCCGGAAAAAAGAACATCCTTAACCCCAATAATGACAGTCAGTATACACTGGGGCAAAAAAGTATTTAGTCAGCCACCAATTGTGCAAGTTCTCCCACTTAAAAAGATGAGAGAGGCCTGTAATTGGCATCATAGGTAGACCTCAACTATGAGAGACAAAATGAGAAAACAAATCCAGACAATCACATTGGCTGATCTGGAAAGAATTTATTTGCAAATTATGGTGGAAAATAAGTATTTGTTGAATATGAAAAGTTCATGTCAATACTTTGTTATATATCCTTTGTTGGCAATGACAGAGGTCAGACGTTTCCTGGAAGTCTTCACAAGGTTGGCACACACTGTTGCTGGTATGTTGGCCCATCCTCCATGCAGATCTCCTCTGGAGCAGTGATGTTTTGGGGCTGTCGCTGGGCAACGCGGACTTTCAACTCCCTCCAAAGGTTTTCTATGGGGTTGAGATGTGGGAGACTGGCTAGGCCACTCCAGGACCTTGAAATGCTTCTTACGAAGCCACTCCTTCGTTGCCCGGCGGTATGTTTGGGATCATTGTCATGTTGGAAGACCCAGCCACGTTTCATCTTCAATGCCCTTGCTGATGGAAGGAGGTCTGCACTCAAAATCTCACGATGCATGGCCCCATTCATTCTGTCCTGTACATGGATCAGTCCTCCTGGTCCCTTTGCGGAGAAACAGCCCCAAAGCATGATGTTGCCACCCCCATGCTTCACAGTAGGTATGGTGTTCTTTGGATGCAACTCAGCATTCTCTCTCCTCCAAACACGACGAGTTGTGTTTCTACCAAACAGTTCTATTTTGGTTTCATCTGACCATCTGACATTCTCCCAATCCTCTTCTGGATCATCCAAATGCTCTCTAGCAAACTTCAGACGGCCCGGACATGTACTGGCTTAAGCAGGGGGACACGTCTGGCACTGCAGGATCTGAGTCCCTGGTGGTGTAGTGTGTTACTGATGGTAGCCTTTGTTACGTTGGTCCCAGCTCTCTGCAGGTCACTCACTAGGTCCCCCCGTGTGGTCCTGGGATTTTTGCTCACCGTTTTTGTGATCATTTTGACCCCACGGGGTGAGATCTTGCATGGAGCCCTAGATCGAGGGAGATTTTCAGTGGTCTTGTATGTCTTCCATTTTCTAATTATTGCTCCCACAGTTGATTTGTTCACACCAAGCTGCTTGCCTATTGCAGATTCAGTCTTCCCAGCCTGGTGCAGGTCTACAATTTTGTTTCTAGTGTCCTTCGACAGCTCTTTGGTCTTCACCATAGTGGAGTTTGGAGTGTGACTGTTTGAGGTGGTGGACAGGTGTCTTTTATACTGATAACAAGTTCAAACAGGTGCCATTGATACAGGTAATGAGTGCAGGACAGAGGAGCCTCTTAAAGAAGAAGGTACAGGTCTGTGAGAGCCAGAAATCTTGCTTGTTTGTAGGTGACCAAATACTTATTTTCCACCATAATTTGCAAATAAATCCTTTCCAAATCAGCCAATGTGATTGTCTGGATTTTGTTTCTCATTTTGTCTCTCATAGTTGAGGTCTACCTATGATGCCAATTACAGGCCTCTCTCATCTTTGTAAGTGGGAGAACTTGCACAATTGGTGGTGACTAAATACTTTTTTGCCCCACTGTATATAAAACCAGAACTTTTTTGGTAAGTGTTAAAAACCCTGTTTTTTTATTTGTTTTTTTGGAATTTCCTTCACTTTTGATCCTGTGGCAATGTTCACCAAAACAAATACAGAGGGTGAATCTTCCCAACGGGGACACAGACAGAAATAAAAACCCAACAGGGATTCTGGCCCTTCACCACCACCGATTCCAAAAAAAAAAAAAAAACCAAACTAATTCTCTGAGTCAATCACTCTTTTTGATGAATCCCCACTAATTATAGGTAGGTATTGCATTTCCAGCTAGAAAGATATTAAGCCCACATTTACAATCACTGATAATGTTAACCAAGAACCTTTTATCTGATGATGATGATGATGATGATGATGATGATGATGATAAAATGGAGATAAAATGTTTCTCTTCAAAACTTAGCAGATATTCCTCATATTGCAAATTATCATTCTATGTGGGAGGATAAATTTTAAAAAAGTCTCAATGCATGAACATCTACTGCAGGACACCAGTTTGTATAATTTTTGGATATACTGTTTACATAAACAAATGAGATACTATTTTAACTATTTCAGAGCACAAACATCATGAATGTCAAGAACAAGACTCAAGTGACCATGTTTGAGTTTTCTGGTCTTACAGATGATGAATTAGTTGCCCCGTTCCTCTTTATGATCTTTTTAGTGGTTTACATAGTGACCATACTTGGAAATATTGGTATGATAGCAATGGTTCAAATCTCACCCAACCTCCACACACCAATGTACTACTTATTGAGCTATCTGTCTCTGGTGGACCTCTTCTACACTTCAGTAACTACTCCTAAAATGTTGGCTGACCTCCTTTCTGAGAGAAAGTTAATAACATTTATTGGTTGCACTCTTCAGTTCTATTTCTTTTGTGCACTGGTAGGTACAGAGGTCTTTGTCCTCTCAGACATGGCGTATGACCGCTACGTCGCGATATGCCGCCCTCTACACTATGTCTTAGTAATGACTAAGAAGAAATGTCTTATGATTCTCTCTTTCTCTGTCGGCTTTGTGCAGTCAGTTGCGCAGACCAGCAGTCTATTCAGTCTTGAATTCTGTGAATCTAACCTCATAGAACACTTCTACTGCGACATCCCTCCTCTGGTCAGGTTGTCATGTTCCGAAACCCGCACCTGCACCATCGTCACCCTTTTCTTTGTGTGTTTTTGTAGCTTAGGTTCAATGACGACCATCCTGGTAACCTACATTCTCATCATTTCTTCTGTCTTACGGATAAAGTCTGCGGCTGGCAGAAGGAAAGCATTTAGCACCTGCTCCTCCCATCTTACGTGTGCTACCATCTTCTATGTTACAGTTTTCTGTACTTACCTTCATCCATCCTCCAGTACCCTCAAAAAACAGGAAATCGTGGCCTCTGTATTCTACACAGCAGTGACTCCAATGTTGAATCCTCTTATCTACAGTTTGAGGAACCAGGAGGTGAAAAAGGCCATCGTAAGACTGCTTCAGAAAAGTCCCCGTTAATATATATACAGTACTTACCAACACTTCAACTTCTAGTTCCATTCACAGAAAGATATACAGGTTTCTATGCTACCTTGTTTATAGTTCACAAGAAGGATGAGGGTTGGCATCCAGTTATAGACCCAAAAAGGCTGAACAGCTTTATCCTCTTGGAGAAGTTCCAGTTCAAGTTCCACACTATCATTCAAACAGTACAGCCAGGCGACTGGATGCTTTCATTGGATCTGTAGGATGCTTACTCTCACATCCCAGTTCTTCCTTCTTTCCAGAAATACCTGAGGTTGCTGCTGGACAAATGCATTTACAGTTTAGGAGCCTTCTTTTCGGCCTATGCACTTCTCCCAGGACGTTCACAAAAGTTCTCATTGCTGTATTAGCCTTGCTCAGACTGCAGGGCCTCTGGGTTCACCACCACCTGGAGGACATTCTTCTGTTGGCCAGGGATCAAAATCAACTGTTAGAGCATTCTCACTCTGCAAAGATACGGATGCAATTATTTCTTACAATTTTGAGAAGGTGTCAATAATGTTGTCCAATGCATTTTGGGGTTTTGTTTTGAATGTGTCAGATTTGGCTTTTTGTTTCTCCAATTTTGTGTCATACCAATACAAACAAAAGAACTACACATGAGAATGCCGGAACATTTCTAATTGCAACAATTTTGTGGGCAAAGCGCTGCGTTATCTGACAGAAATACAGGGTGCCAATAGTTTTGGCCATGACCATATATCTTGGATTTAGCTTCATTTTTGCAGTGGGTTTGTGTTGAAGAACCTACATTTCAATCATTTTCTTCAGTAAAACGTTTTATGTGATAGACTAACACAAAGTGGCACATAATTTTGAAGTGGAAGGAAAGTGAGAAATGGTTTTCAAAATTTTTTACATGTAAATATCTGAAAAGTGTGGCATGCATTTGTATTCAGCCCCCTTTACTCTGATACCCGTAACTAAAATCTAGTGGAACCAGTTGCCTTCAGAAGTCACCTAATTAGTAAATAGAGTCCACCTATAAATGTGTAAAGTAATCTCCGTATGTAACGGAACCGGAACCCAGACCGCACTGAGTTTTTCCGTTATACCACAGCTTCCCCTGTCCGAACATCATCCATGGACCACACCCTTGAAATCCCTCAGGAAATAGACAGCACCCAGCTCTTCTTAATACAGGAAGCCAACTACTTTTTATTTTAACACAAAACACAGGATATATACAGAGGACGGGGAAACAACCAAGAACAGGAAATACATCATCACCCCTCCCCATCCCACCAAGACACAGAACAATGGGATGAAGCACATGGCAAAGGACATTGACCAACCCCCCACACCAATACACAAACAGTACATCCCATAATAGTTGGCTGGCCAGCAAGGCACAGCACAATGGGGGGTAGCACATGGCAAACAGACAATGGACAGCCATGTGGCCTAGACAAAGGACAACACACAAATGCACAATACTGGGACATTCACATGTACACCCTGTACCCTTAAACAGGCACAGGGTGGGTTAAACATAATGATTTGGGGAGATGATACAGAGGTCCCCCCACCCCCAAAAGTCACTCCCGTCACACCGTATAAATACAGCTATTCTGTGAAGCCCTCAGAGGTTTGTTAGAGAACATTAGTGAACAAACAGCATCATGATGGCGAAGGAACAAACCAGACAGTCAGGGATAAAGTTGTGGAGAAGTTTAAAGCAGAGTTAGGTTATAACAAAAAATATCCCAAGCTTTGAACATCTCACGAAGCACTGTTCAAGCCATCATCCGAAAATGGAAAAAGTATGGCACAACTGAAAACTTACATGGACATGGATATGGCCATTCACCTAAACTGACAGGCCGGACAAGGAAAGCATTCATCAGAGAAGCAGCCAAGAGGCCCATGGGAACTCTGGAGGAGCTGCAGAAATCCACAGCTCAGGTGGGAGAATCTGTCCATAGGACAACTATTAGTCCTGCACTCCACAAATCTGGCCTTTATAGAAGAGTTGCAAGAAGAAAGCCATTGTTGAAAGGAAGCCATAAGAAATCCCGTTTTCAGTTTGTGAGAAGCCATGTGGGGGACACAGCAAACATGTGGAAGAAGGGGCTCTGATCAGATGAGACCAAAATGAAACTTTTTGGCCTAAAAGCAAAACGGTATGTGTGGCAGAAAACTAACACTGCATATCACCCTGAACACACCATCCCCACCGTGAAACATGGTGGTGGCAGCATCATGTTATGGGGATGCTTTTCTTCAGCAGGGACAGGGAAGCTGGTCAGATTTGATGGGAAGATGGATGGAACCAAATGCAGGGCAATCTTAGAATAAAACCTGTTATAGTCTGCAAAAGACTTGAGACCGGGGCGGAGGTTCCCCTTCCAGCAGGACAACGACCCGAAACATCCAGCCAGAGCTACAATGGAATGGTTCAGTTCAAAGCATATTCATGTGTTAGAATGGCCCAGTCAAAGTCCAGACCCAAATCCAATGGAAAATCTGTGGCAAGACTTGAAAATTGCTGTTCCCAGACACTCTCCATCCAATCTGACAGAGCTTGAGCAATTCTGCAAAGAAGAATGGGCAGAAATGTCCCTCTTTAGATGTGCAAAGCTGGCAGAGACATCCCCAAAAAGACTTGCAGCTGGAATTGCAGCCAAAGGGGGTCCTACAAAGTATTGACTCCGGGGGGCTGAATACATTTTGAAAACCATTTATCATTCTCCTTCAAATTCACAATGATGTGCCACTTTGTGCTGGTCTATCACATCAAATCCCAATAAAATACATTTACATTTACACATGACATTTGGAAAATTTCAAGGGGTATGAATACTTTTTCAAGGCACTGTATGTTATATTTGTGACTGCTTTCATTAGTAAAGAAAATTGTGTACTAATTGTTGTTTTCCTTCATTATTTTTACAATAATAATAATAATGATGGTCCTTGGGGAAGATGACAATTGTCTTCAGGTAATTGTGTGTAGTATAAAAACTGCTCAGTATACAGACATATTTAGACGTGTAAATCCTGCTTGTTAGATGACGTTATCTCACAGAGGTAAGAGATCAAAATGAAATCCCCTGATTCCTGATTATAGATAAATATCAGATATAATTACAAATTAAATGTTAAATAAATACAGCAGCTCCAATCAAGGCAAAGCAAAACATTTTTTCAATTGCCATTCTTGTTATAGGACAGCGAAAAAGGTAAAAAAAAATTCTATTAAGCAAAAATTATGTTGAAAATCATTTTGGGAGCACACGACTATTAGAATTGGCAGATTTTATTATACAAACTGCTCAGTTATCTTTCCAGCTTGGAACCTGAAGTTTGCAAGTGTAGAAAAAAAATTTGATTCAATAAATTATTTGCATTTTGCTCTTTTTAAGACCAGACTATGCTTGTCACGGTCAGGGGTCAGGCTCGAAGACCAGTTGCTATAGCAGTAGAGAGGCTCCCATTGACTAGTTAGTCACCATGGTGGATGGCATGGGCTCACCCAAGGCACGGGGTCTAAGCGCAAACCTGTCTTAAAAGAATTTCTGATGGTGGAGATGGGTTTTGCTGCATGTTAGTACCAGGTTGCGGTCCTCAGGATCACCCCACCAGGAGGTGAGCAAGCCAGAGTCTAGCAGCAGATAATGCAGGTAGGGATCAAGCAGAAATGTAGTCGGTAAACAAGTCAAAGGACAGTAACAAGTGGTTACAGGTTGGGATCAATTAGAACTGTAGTCAAGGAACGAGCCAAAGGTCGATAGCAAGTGGTTACAGGTTTGGATCAAGTGGAAGCATAGTCAAGGAACAAGCCAAAGGTCAATAACACGTGTTTTCAGTTTGGGATCAAGTGGAAGCGTAGTCAAGGAATAAGCCAAAGGTCAATAAAAAGTGTTTTCAGGTTGGGATCAAGTGGAAGTGTAGTCAAGGAACAAGCCAAAGGTCGATACCAAGTGGTTTTAGGTTGGGATCAAGTGGAAGCATAGTCAAGGAACAAGCCAAAGGTCAATAACAAGTGTTTTCAGGTTGGAATCAAGTGGAAGCGTAGTCAAGGAACAAGCCAAAGGTCAATAAAAAGTGTTTTCAGGTTGGGATCAAGTGGAAGCGTAGTCAAGGAACAAGCCAAAGGTCAATAACAAGTGATTTTAGGTTGGGATCAAGTGGAAGTGTAGTCAAGGAGCAAGCCAAAGATCAATAACCAGAGGTTTCAGGTTTGGATCAAGTGGAAGTGTAGTCAAGGAACAAGCCAAAGGTCAATAACAAGTGGTTTTAAGTTGGGATCAAGTGGAAGCGTAGTCGAGGAGCAAGCCAAAGATCGGTAACAAGTGGTTTCAGGTTGGGATCAAGTGGAAGTGTAGTCATGGAACAAGCCAAAGATCAGTAACAAGAGGTTTCAGGTTGGGATCAAGTGGAAGCGTAGTCAAAGAACATGGCTACGTCGCGAGATCTGTTATTTTTCCACTTTCTGTAGTTTTCTATACTTGTTGCTGTCCAACAAATGTGTCAGTTTTAAGGGTTGGGGCAAACCATATAATGCGGCCAGGGTGCAGCCAATGGCTACCTTTTATACATGTATACCTATGAAAGGTGAATAAAATTTTTCAAAATCTGCAAACAAAAGCTAAGGAGTGAAGGAGAGGAAGATGTTAAAGTATATGCTACCCCAAGATTTCAGATTCCTGATATGTGTCTGTACTTCTAGGTACTGATTATTAATTAAGGATTTACCCCCTTCATTACCAGGCCATTTTTTGCTATTCAACACTGCGCTACTTTAACTGACAATTGCTCAGTCATGCAACACTGTACCCAAATGAAATTTATATAATTTTTTTTTTTCACACAGATAGAACTCTCTTCTGCTGGTATTTCGATAGTTCTTTTTTTTTTTACTTTTTTTTGCTATGTAAACAAAGAAATACTAACATATTTGAAAAGTAAAACACGTTTTTCTTTTTCCTGTTTTGATATTTTGCAAATAAATAAACTTTCTTCATAAATTTAGGCCAAAATGTATTCTACTACATTTCTTTGGTAAAAGTAACCCAAATCAGTGTGTGAAAGTTATGGAGTCTACAGACCATGGTATATATACACTATATTGCCAAAAGTATTGGGCCAGCCCTCCAAATCATGTGATTCAGGTGTTCCAATCTCCTCCATGGACACAGGTGTATAAAATCAAGCGCCTAGGCATGCAGACTTCTTCTACAAACATTGGTGAAAGAATGGGTCGTTAACTCTTTTTTTAACTTTTCCTGCTTGTAGCTTTAATTAGGCCTAATGACACCTTTTTTACTTTATGAAAGTACTTTATATAATACTGTTTGTACATCCTAAACAAAAGTGATGCTTTTTTTAACTATTTCGCAGCACAAGAAAAACCCCATGTATATCCTCAACAAGACTCATATAACTGTGTTTGAATTTTCTGGTCTGTCTAATGATAAAGAAGTTGCCCCTTTCCTTTTTGTATTCTTTTTGCTGGTTTACATAGTGACCATATGTGGAAACGTTGGGATGATGGCAATGGTTCATATCTCGCCCAGCCTCCACACTCCGATGTACTACTTCTTGAGCCATCTCTCTATGGTGGACCTCTTCTACTCTTCAGTTGTTACTCCAAAAATGTTGTCCGACCTTCTTTCAGAAAGGAAACTAATATCATTCATTGGTTGCGCCCTTCAGTTCTTCTTTTTTGCTGCTCTTGCAAGTACTGAGGTCTTTGTGCTCTCGGACATGGCGTACGACCGATATGTCGCCATCTGTCACCCTCTCCACTACGTCTCAGTAATGACTAAAAAGAAATGTCTCAGTCTTGTCATCCTTGCTTTCTCAGTTGGCTTTATACAGTCTTCAGCACAGACTAGCAGTCTATTTAGTCTTACATACTGTAAATCCAACCTCATAGACCACTTCTACTGTGACATCCCTCCACTGCTCAGGTTGTCCTGTTCCGAAACGTATGCATGCAACATTGTCACCCTTTTCTTTGTGTGTTTTTGTAGCCTAAGTTCAATGACGACCATCCTGGTCTCCTACGCCCTAATTTTTTCTTCCATTCTACGGATAAACTCTGCGGCTGGCAGGAGGAAAGCTCTTAGCACCTGCTCCTCACACCTCATGTGTGCGTCCATCTTCTACATTACAGTTTTCTTCACTTACCTTCATCCATCCTCCAGTGCTCTTGAAAAGAAAGACAAAGTGGCTTCTGTCTTCTACACCGTGGTGACTCCAATGCTGAATCCTCTTATCTACAGCTTGAGGAACCAAGAGGTGAAAAAGGCCATCATAAGACTACTGCAGAAAAGTCCCAATAAACATATATGATAGCCTTATACCTGTCAAATTAAACATACCTAGTTCAAGATGTGGCTGACAAAAATCTGTATTGAGGGAAATATGGAGGCCTCCATCGCAAAAACACCAACTTAACTGGCTGTATGAGTACTGGAGCTAGATACAGCCAGAGAACTAGAATGAGGTAGGCAGCCAAAAAATGTTTGCCAAGACAGATTTCCTGGAATGTAAAATAGCAGTATAAAATTGTGTAGATATTCACACTCACCAGCCACTTTATTAGGTAAACCTTGATAGTGCCAATCAAATATCCCCCACACCAATACACCACCATCACCAGCCTGAACCATTGATACAAGACTAGATGAATCCATGCGTTCATGTTGTTTACGCCAAATTCTGACTCTACTGTCTGAATGTCACAGCTGAAATTGAGACTCATCAGACCAGGCTGCCTTTATCCAATCTTCTATTGACCAATTTTGGTGAGTCTGTGCGAATTGTAGCCTGTTTCCTGTTCTTAGTTGACAGGAGTGACAAAGAGTATGAGGTCTTCTGCTGCTGTAGCCCATCTGCTTCAAGGTTCAATGTGTTGTGCATTCAGAGATGGTATTCTGCCAAAATCAAGTGGTTATTTGCGTTACTGTTGCCTTTCTATCATTTCCAACCAGTCTGCCCATTCTCCTCTGACCTCTGACATCAGCAAGGCATTTTTCTCCACACAACTGCCCCTCACAAGATATTTTCTCTTTTTCAGACCATTCTCTGTAAATCTTAGAGAGGGTTGTGTGCAGGGGCGGACTGACCATTTGGAATCTCGGGCACTGCCCGAGGGCCCAGGGTCAGTAGGGGGCCCCATGAGATGCCCCTGGTACCTTTTTCATAGGCTTTTTTGAGTTTGGGCAAGGACACAGGGGCCCCATGATCCCCTATTGCCCAGGGGCCCCATGTGTTGTCAGTCCGCCCTAGTTGTGTGTAAAAATCCCAGTAGATCAGCAGTTTTTGAAATATTCAGACCAGACTGTTTGGCACCAACAACCATGCCACGTTCAAAGTCACTTAAATCCCATTTCTTCCCCAATCTGGAGCTTAGTTTGAACTTCAGCAAGTCGTCTTCACCATGTCTACATGTCTAAATGCATTGAGTTGCTGCCATGTGATTGGCTGATTAGCAATTTGTGTTACTAAGTCATTGAACAGGTGTAACTAATAAAGTAGCCAGTGAGTGAAGAGGATCAACTTAATTTTGGATATTCCTGTAAATGCACATTAAAGCCCATCCCTGAGAAAATCTTAATTGTTTCTACTCTTTTCACCCCTAGATCCACCCACTCCCCCACTCCTCAGCCATTTTGTTTTGTTAAGTGATACCTTTTATACTCACCTAACGCCATCATCCAGGTCCCTAGTCACGACAGCCTCTGGGAGTGACAATGATGGATCCAACTGATGGATCAGCACTGCAGCAAACCAGTCGCCTCTTCCTGACATCCTCCATCATTGCAATCTTCAGAGACAAGCCAAAAGGAAGAGTCTACATTACCTTGGAGAACCCTCCTCCTTTGCAGGAAAGAAGACTCAGGACCTGGCACACCAAGTGGCTATGGACATACTCCTTGTATATTTAGTATCTAATAGAAAGGAAAACGTAACATATTCCTTGGTCCCGGGACAGCCAGTACTCCTCTTTGCTCCTGAATGAGGGTGGACATCCAGACAAGCACCCACATGACATTTTTTGAAAGCTGACTTGTAAGCACACTTGTGACACAGAGGAGCTTCATGTATGATCCAAGTCCACAGATGCAAGCTGTAATGAAGAGACACGTAGAGGTGATCAGGGAAGGGCACTGGGAAGTGTACAGAGGTCGAGACATCTAGCACTGCAAGCCCACTGGGAGATGAGGGGAGTCGATTCTGACTTCACATACTGTGTCAACACTATCTGGCAATTGCCCCTACTGGAAAACTGTTTGAGGATCTGCACACAAGGAGGGTATTGTGCCCTGATATCTTACTGGATATTTCAGAGAAAACTTTGCAAGTTTTTACTAGTAGTAGAGTCTACTACCATGTTAGCCATTGATCAATTGAGAGAGAGAATGTCCTGTTTTGTTGATCCCAATAAGTGGCTAACTTATGTAGCACTACCCCCTTGAGAGTCGCTGGTTTTGGGTTGCCCAACTTGACATGAAACCTTGACAAGCTTTCTAAATTCTGTACAACAGTGAAGGATCCTTGACTTTCTACTCCCTCCAGAGTGGCATCAGTCTTTTCATCAGTAACACAGTCTCTGTGAGGAGCATTTAGTGCCCTCTAAATGAACCTCTTGGAACCCTATGCTAGAAACTACTGATCCACCTGGCTGTCTTTGAAGATTATCCAGGAGCAAGCGATTCTAAAACAGACTTGCAGCACTGTCCCAGGGAGAACTGGTTGGATATAGCACCTAGCAGCTCTCGCTCTTGTAGACCCCAGGGGGTGTGGAGGTATTCACACTGTCCTTGTGTCCTCTGGATTTGGATAAACTGCTTTCAGGCTTTTGTTAGGCTGATTAGATTATGACTCTAAACAATATTTTCCTGAAACAGCCACGTATACACTCACCGGCCACTTTATTAGGTCCACATGCTCAATTGCTTGGTAACACAAATTGATAATCAGCCAATCACATGGCAGCGACTCAATGCATTTAGACATCTAGACGTGGTGAAGACGACTTGCTGAACTGAGCATCAGAATGGGGAAGAAAGGGGATTTAAGTTACTTTGAACGTGGCATGGTTGTTGGTGCCAGACAGGCTGGTCTGAGTATTTCAAAAACTGCTGATCTCCTGGAATTTTCATGCACAACCATCTCTAGGGTTTACAGACAATGGTCCGAAAAAGAGAAAATATCCAGTGAATGGCAGTTGCGTGGAGGAAAATGCCTTGTTGAGGTCAGAGGAGAATGGAAAGACTGGTTGGAGATGATATAAAGGCAACAGTAACTCAATAACCACTTGTTACAACCAAGGTATGCAGAATAACATCTCTGAATGCACAACATGTTGAACTTTGAAGCAGATGGGCTACAGCAGCAGAAGACCACACCGGGTGCCACTCCTGTCAGCTAAGAACAGGAAACGGAAGCTACAATTCACACAGGATCACCAAAATTGGACAATAGAAGATTGGAAAAATATTGCCTGGTCTGCTGAGTCTCAATTACAGCTGTGACATTCAGATGGTAGGGTCAGAATTTGGTGTAAACAACATGAAAGCATGGATTCATCCTGCCTTGTGTCAACAGTTCAGGCTGGTGGTGTCATGGTGTGGTGGATCCATCCTGCCTTGTATCAATGGTTCAGGCTGGTGGTGTCATGGTGTGGTGGATCCATCCTGCCTTGTATCAAAGGTTCAGGCTGGTGGTGGTTGTGTCATGGTGTGGTGGATCCATCCTGCCTTGTATCAACGGTTCAGGCTGGTGGTGTGATGGTGTGGTGGATCCATCCTGCCTTGTATCAACGGTTCAGGCTGGTGGTGGTGGTGTCATGGTGTGGTGGATCCATCCTGCCTTGTATCAACGGTTCAAGCTGGTGGTGGTGTCATGGTGTGGTGGATCCATCCTGCCTTGTATCAATGGTTCAGGCTGGTGGCGGTGGTGTCATGGTGTGGTGGATCCATCCTGCCTTGTATCAACGGTTCAGGCTGGTGGTGGTGGTGTCATGGTGTGGTGGATCCATCCTGCCTTGTATCAACGGTTCAAGCTGGTGGTGGTGTCATGGTGTGGTGGATCCATCCTGCCTTGTATCAATGGTTCAGGCTGGTGGCGGTGGTGTCATGGTGTGGTGGATCCATCCTGCCTTGTATCAACGGTTCAGGCTGGTGGTGGTGGTTTCATGGTGTGGTGGATCCATCCTGCCTTGTATCAACGGTTCAGGCTGGTGGTGTCATGGTGTGGTGGATCCATCCTGCCTTGTATCAACAGTTCAGGCTGGTGGTGGTGTCATGGTGTGGTGGATCCATCCTGCCTTGTATCAACGATTCAGGCTGGTGGTGGTGGTTTCATGGTGTGGTGGATCCATCCTGCCTTGTATCAACGGTTCAGGCTGGTGGTGTCATGGTGTGGTGGATCCATCCTGCCTTGTATCAACAGTTCAGGCTGGTGGTGGTGTCATGGTGTAGTGGATCCATCCTGCCTTGTATCAACGGTTCAGGCTGGTGGTGGTGTCATGGTGTGCTGGATCCATCCTGCCTTGTATCAATGGTTTAGGCTGGTGGTGGTGTAATGGTGTGGGGGAGATTTTCTTGGCACTAGCAAGGCGTACCTAATAAAGTGGCCGTTGAGTGTAAATTCGGGTTCGCTTGTTCTTGCTATTACACCACTCATTTCAGATGATATGGCTAAGTAGACAGGAATTTTGGGAACACACCTTTAGGCACTGAGATTTGGGTGCAACAACAAATTGGCACAAATCGGGGCAAAATTACAAGTCCAATAAGGTATGTATCAACCCAATAACTCAGATGTTAGCCTCAGATTTACTACAAAAAAGGGTGACGACTCTTCTGTACCAGCCTAGGCAATAGGTGGGTTTGAGCAAGATTCCTGGAGGCATGTAGAAGCCTGACCTCTGGGGTGATTGATGGGGGAAGTTCTTCTTGGCAAAGCCTGGCTTATGAAAGGCCAGAAGAGTTGCCAAACTGTGATGACTGCTACCTATTTGTGTCATGAGGCAGTTACTTGAGTGGTGAAGGACAAGAGTTCGATCTTGCCTATGTCCAGGTAGGCTCAATATTAGAGCGGCTCTACGATTAAGCCCTGGCTCGTTGAAACGAATCAGACGTACAGTACTGTGCAAAAGTCTTAGGCAGGTATGAAAGAATGCTGTAAATTAAGAATACTTTCAGAAATAGAAGTGTTATTATTTTATTTTTATCAATTAATAAAAAATGAACAGATAAGGAATCCAAATCAAATCCATGTTTGGTGCGACCAAAGCGTTTGTGCATGGTTGAGTCGCTTAGCCTTGTTTCCATGTCCTATGA